AAAACACAACCCCAAAAAAAAAAAAAAAAAAAAAAAAAAAAAACCTAACAATATATCTAATAAGATTTCTCTTTCGTTGGAAACAAGACACACCCAACAAATTGTTGTGCCACCACTAAAATTGTTGTTCTCATATATAACAATGTACACGTACCCTATTATTGTCTCTCCACACCAGTATTTGACAAAGCCGCATTACTAGCTGCTTTTAAAGGTGGCCTATTAATCTTCTCAAGTAATCTACTAAACACTAATTTGACTGGTATGCAAGCAACAGTAGTGAGCCCAGAGACCTCTGGTTTAATCGACCTATTTGTTTGATAAAAACTTCTATCATGTAATTGCTTTTTACCTAGATTATTTTCAATAGATAATGAGGACAGAGTTCTAGTTTTCTGACTAGATGACAAGCTCACTTTCTTTAGCATCTTTTTTTGAGACTTCTTGTCTATTGAAGGCACAGGACTGTTAAGACCACTCTTCCTCGAAAGGCTTGACTTATGACTGGGACTTCCACCATTTAATTTCTTATATTCAATATTTCTTTCTTGATCTATCGAAAAATCTGCATCACTCTCAGCACCATTAGATGACAATACAAGTGGACGAGGAACACGGAAATTTGCTGTTCTCCTTGCAGTCCTCCAAGCAGGTGGAAGTACACTACTTCCCTCAAAGCCATTCCCATCATTGCTAAAGTCATCAATTGCAGAAAAAAGATTATCAGATGAACCATCCTTAAGGGCTTCAATTTGGATTGGGTGCCCTATTATTGACTTCCCATCCAACTTACTTGTGATAGAAACAATGGGGACAGGTGCCTTCCGATAGCTTGCTTGAACCTTCAAGTCTACATCTACCAGCATAGATCTTGTCCTTCCATCAAAATGATAACGATCACTGTATAATGGAGAAAACCCTCTACTTTCCCAATATCCTTTCAAAGCAGACTGATCCTCCCAAGCCCATTCATCCCAATCAACACCATGACCAACTTTATTTTGACCTTTTGCTAGAGAATATTCATCTTCAAACCCAAACATTTGATCGGTGCCATCAAAAACATCACTAATACCATTTCCATAGTAATGCAAACCAGGCTCCAATGTCTTGTGGCTTGAACGGCTTCTTATTCCTTTAACATTTGCTCCATATAAAACAACACCTTTCCTATCAGCAGCACCAACAGACCTTTTTACAAGATTACGATTATTCCTTTTCCCTTTTAACTTCCATTTGGACACGGCTTCATTACATGATATATGTTCACGAGGATAGAGATGAGGCATGTCACTAGAAATTGCCAGCTCATCAAGTTCCTCAATGCTAGTGCTCTCTTGTTCTTCAG